TGTCGTGGGGACACTGGTGGCACATTCCCCTCCGTGTGCCCAGTATTTCCCACTGCCCTGGAGAACGATGCTGCCCAAACCAAGAGCCCCATCTCCTTTCCCCATGCGAAGGCCGGGGCAATGCCCATGGGTGCGGACCGGGGTTGCTGGCCCCAGTGTGATGCTGGCCCCAGTGTGATCCTGAGTGCTCATGGGTGATGTGACGGTCACCTGCTTTCCCTGAAAATGCTTTTTGAAGGTTTCATGTCACGGTGATGCAGATATCCCCCTTGGAGCAGCCACGCGTGGGAGGTGGGAAGCTGGCAGGAGGCAAAACTTACCCTTTTCTGCAGCCAATTTTTGCTTTTCTTAAGCAAGAAGGTTAAAAATCCAATGAGCTCCGGGACTGCCGGGAACACCAGGTGTGTGGTTGCCGAGTGGTGCTTTTTTGGTGTAATTTGGGAAGGAGAAGCGTTAGGAAGGGAACTCCAGAGCAGCCGTTTGCAGTTCAGCTGAGCCCGCAGCCCTCGCGCTGCCCGGCCGGGGAGGTTTCCAGCTCAACGTCCTCCTGCCAAAAAACCTCTCCCTGCCACGGCGTCGCGCTGGGACCCGGCATCCACCTGCCAGGTGGGGATTGCGGCCCTGTGGGATGCCGGGGCCCTGGGAGCCGTGGGCGGGGAGGATCAGGCCGTAATTAAAAACAGCCTGGAAAGAAGGGGTGGATGTAAACCCTGCTCCTTCATTTGGGCGCTTTGATCCCGGCTTTAGTCACCAGCTTGGTACGTGAGGGCTGTGAGTAAGGCGTTCAGGCTGTGCCCCTGTGGGCTCCCGTGGCCCGCGGCCGGGCAGGTTTTGGGGTTCAGACCCCCCCGCCGGCAGGGCTGGGGCTGCGTTGCAGTGGCCAAGGGGAACCATCTGCAGATGGCACGTAGGTTTTGGTCAGGCTGGTGACAACTGGGACCTGCCCATCTCCAGACATGCTGATGATGTCCCAGGAGGCCAGGTCGAGGGTGAGTCTCCCTGTTTCAGAGACATCCTCCACGGCCCAGCTTTGCCAGGCAGCAGGCAGGGACACCCTGAAGGTGCACATGTCCCATGCTCCATGTCCATGCCTGGTCCCACCATCCTTTTTGTGAATCTCTTGGCCAGTCCAGGATTTGGAGCCAGCAAAAGCACACCTGAGCCAGCAGCCCTGAGGGACTGGCATTGGTTTGGTGCCACTGGGGATTATTTGAGATCAGGCTGGATGTGGTGTCTCCGTCATGGTGGTGCTGGGGGGCTCCCCCTGTGCTGGTCCACTCCTCTGTGCTGGATGTCAAATGGCTTGGGCCAACCTCTGCGTGAATGGCTGAGGGTGAAACCAGCCTCACCGGCAGCTCCCGGGCTGAATTTTCTCTGGTTGGGCTGCAAACGAGTTTACGGGCAATAAACGCAATAAACCCACCAGCACCAATGGGAATGGCAGCCTGGGTTTGGGACAGGCCAGCTGGATCCCAGTCCTGTCCCTGTCCTGCTGGGCAGCACCAGATGACTGAGCTCCCATCCCTGGGAAGGTGGGATGATGTTTCCTTTCCCCGGGGTCTGCCCTTGTCACGTGTCAGCCCCTCTGGCTGCGCCTCCTCCCGGCCCCGTGGGGCTCGAGGCTGAGCCCAGCTCCCGCCGATGAGTTGGGACGAGCGTGGTGGGTTGGGACACACATTGTGTAGGTGTCATAAATCCAGGTTTGGGAGATATCTGCCCTGCTCCCCCACCATGCAAAGCACCTCAAGAAGATGCAGTAAACCGTCTTGGTTGTAAGATGCATTTCCAAGCCCTGCCTGGCAAAACCGTTGTCTTGTTGCTCTCTGGCATGTGCTAGACTTTGCTTTCTGCCAATAAACCGTCACTTTGGTGTCCTACCAGGAGGTGCTGGCAGCCCTGAGGACCCATGGCATGTCTCCTCACCAGCTGAGCTGCAGTTGAGGGTGCAGCTTCTCCACCAGCTCCAGCCTTTCGGGGGCTGCAGAGGTGCTGGGTGCTCTGGGAGAGGCGGCTGCCCTGCGAGTGCCTGTTCCTGGGTGCTCCAGGCTCGTTAACCTTCCAGGATAAGAGGATTACAGCGAGTCGCCGGCTTAACTCCGCTGCTGCTTTATGGCCCCACATGGCGGGGTGACTCCAGGGCTTCCCCTGTGTGGGAAAGGCAAAACCAGCACATCTTTTCCCAGCAGCTAGGCTCAGTGTTTCAGGGCTGGCTCACTTTTTGGGATACGCTCACTCAGGTTTTTTGCTACTGTCGTTCCCAGGTTGTGGGCACAGCCGTTTTGGGCTCATTTAGGGTGGATTTGGTGCATCGACACCTTTGGTATCACCCCTTTGGCAGGGCGTCGGGTTCCTTTTGCATAAGTCAGGAGCACTCGATAACCTGGCGTCAGGTTCCTCCTCCACAGGAAAACACCTCGATCCGGAGGCGTCCCCTGGATCAGCGGCCGTGTCGAAGCAGGTGCTTTCCCCAGGAGGGGAGATAAGATTTTTATAAGGTTTTACGGCTCGTGGGGCTGCAGGGAGGGACTGGGTTTCTCTTCCGGCGTGAGCACTGGCGGTGAGGCCGCTTCCTGCCTTCCAGGCTGGGACCTTTTTTCCTTTGCCAGTGACCAAGGGCTTGTGGACACGGGTGCAGCCCAAGCACTTATGTGAGGGTGAAGCAGCTCAGTTGAGTCTGCAGGGAACTGGGGAGTAGGAGGAAGATCCTCATCAATCACCACAACTCATTTTTGCAGCCCATCATCATGCGGGAGACGCAACCGACGTCTGTCTGGAGTCATCTTTTGGAATAAACTCGTAATTTAAAGTGTGCTGTGATTGAACACATTCAAATGTAGATAATCCTCCTCTGATAATCACATTGCTCTGGATTTTTGCTCTGTCAAAACGGGCATCACGGCTGCCACTCCCTCCTTGCTTGGGGGCATGCAGCAACGTCAAAAAAAACACCCAACCCACCACCCTCTGGTTCAAAGGCTCCTTGTGATTAGACAAACAACCCTGGAATTTGGCATCTGGCTGTCGTTGCTTTAATGCTCCTTGGGCATCCTTGGGCACGGTGGTGCTGAGTTCAGGCTGTAAAAATGCAGAAATTTGTTTCCTGGGACAGGGACAGTGGGGAGCATCAGCGGTGCGGTCAGTAGTGGCCCAGGTCCCACTCATTGTGCCTGAGATGGAGGTTTTAACAGGCTGTGTCATGTGCGGATAAAAAAGCCTATTTTGACATGTCACAAACAGCTTTGGGGTGACAAACATGTTATAAAATTCAGGATATTCCCCCGGCAGCGCCAGCACTTCACTTTGAGGGGGGCAAGGTAGCTGTGAGGGTCGCGCTGCGTCTGACGGCCACTCTCTCCTTCTCTCACAGGCCATCAGCATCAGCAAAGCCATAAATACACAAGAAGCACCGGTGAAGGAGAAACATGCCCGCCGTATCCTTTCCCTCGGCTCATCCGGACGGTGCGGAGCAGATCCAGTGCTGAGGCAGGAGGGGTTCCACCCTGCGGTGGAGCCATGGGAGGTTTGGGAGATAGGAGACCTGTGCAGAGTTTGGTTGAGGGATGATGTCTTGTAGGTTCATCCATCAGGGAAAATACAAAGCAGGGCAGTGCAATAAAATTGGATTTCTTTGGTAATAAGATGCAAAGGGCCCTGGTGTGCCCTGCAGCAGGGGAAGGAGCACCAGGAAAAAATAAACGGGGGTTTTATCTGTGGGTTCAGCATCGCGCTGGTCAGCTCTGTGCCCGCAGTACACTTGGTGCTTGTCCCTTTCTAATGAAAGCTGAACAGGAATAGTCCCCAGCCCTGCCTGTCCCCTGCTCCTGAGTGTCCAGTTGGCCTTGACCACAGGGAAGGGATCATCCTGGGGACGCACCACGAGAAGGGAGCGTTCACCTTCTGGTCCTACGCCATCGGGCTGCCCCTGCCCAGCAGTGCCATCCTCAGCTGGAAGTTCTGCCATGTCCTGCACAAGGTCCTGCGTGATGGTCACCCCAACGTGAGTGTCCCCTCCAAAATGACCCTCCTGTGTTCCTGGCAGGGGGGAATTTTTGGCTTTTGCCGACATCTCTCTGTGCAGAGGGTGGGTTCCTTTCCCTGCCCTGGCCACCTTTCCCAGGCCGTGGGGCTGTGAAACACTCTGTTCTCTTGTGTCTTTTAAACCTCCACGTGCAAAGCCCCGACCTCTGGTTGCTGTTGAAGGTCTTGAACTTCTTCTCTCAAAGCTGGAGTGGCATAAGGGGCTGGATCCATCCCCTTCCTCAGCTTCAGGGCAGGCAGGTGCTCTCCCAGCTCCGTGCCAGCCCCACCATGGTTTTGTCCCCAGGTCCTCCAGGACTGCCAGCGGTATCGCAGCAACATCCGAGAGACAGGGGACCTGTGGGTGAGTGGGGTGAAGTGGAGGTTTGTGCCTTCCTGGGGGTTTTGAGGTGAGTGCTGAAAAGCATCGGGAGCACGAGGAGGGCAAAGCAGCACTTTAAATAACCCTCTGCCTCCCCGGGGTGATGGTTATGTGTGTGGTGAGGGGCAAGAGGGCGAGAGCTGTGGGGCTGCCATGGGTTTGCCGTGCCCAGGCTCTGCCAGATCCAGTTGCATCGCTCCGGATTCTTCACCTTTCCCCTCATGTCTCTGGCAGGGCCATTTGCACGACAGGTACGGGCAGCTGGTGAGCATCTACACACGGCTCCTCCTCACCAAGATCTCCTTCCACATCAAGGTGAGGGACTCTGCCACCTCCACACCCTGCCATGCCGGGGTTACGGGGCTTCACCGAGGGTTGTGTCACATCAGTAAAACAATTAGCAACAAGTGGTGTTTTTTTCCTTTCACCAAAGCATCCCGAGTTCCCCGCAGGCCTCGAAGTGTCGGATGAGGTGCTGGAAAAGACTGCGGGGACGGACGTGAACAACATGTGAGTGTCCTGACAGGGGCAAAGCACCCGCTGATGGGTTGCCGGCTCCGTGCTGCCTGGCTGGCAGCATCCTGCTAACGAAAGGGCTGCTGCTCGGGGCAACCAGCGGTGTTTTATCAATTGATCGGATGGTGCCTGATTCCTCCTGCACCCTCAGGGTGGTGAGGGGCGTAAATGCAGGGAGCAAAACCACCAAATTCTTGTCAGTCTTGGCTCTTGCTGGCACAGGGACCTGCAGTGAGCGTTGGCAGCTGGAGCAGGGATGTCTCTGCTTCTGGGTGACGGGGTTTTGGTTTTTTTTGGCAGCTTCCAGCTGACGGTCGAGCTGTTTGACTACCTGGATTGTGAGCTGAAGCTGTCAGAGTCAGGTGAGGAGGTGGCAGGTCCCTCCCGCTCGCTCCGGGGCTCTTGAGCAATAGTTTCGCTCTTTGGTCAGGAATGGAGTTCCAGCTCGGGAGGCTGAGGTCGGAGGCTCGGGTCCTTTCTCCTCCTCAGATGAGATTTCTGAGGTCGTTTCTCAACCAGATTCCCCTGTTGATGCTCTGTAGAGGTGGTGGTAGGAAAATATTTAAGGAATGATTTTAGCCCACCTGAGCGGTGCAGGGTGTTGTTTTCAGAGTGGTGCTGCTCTGAAATAGGTTTTTATTTATTTTTGGTCCAACCACGTTAATCATATGCCTTTCCCAAATCCTCTTTATCCCCCTGAAGCAGAGGTTGGAGCTCTACCTCTTTCTAAATACTCATTTCCCCTGGTTGAAATACCTCTGGGGAGGGCTGGAGGCCCCTGCCCATGTTTGCTTCTCTCACTTCCTTCTCCAGGAATTTTTATATGGCTTAAAAATGTGATGGTTTCTTCCTCCGTTGCGAGTCAGGAACAGAGAGCTGCCCTTGAAAACAGGGCACAGTGGGAGAGACCATGCTCCTGGCTCCCGTCAGCCTCCCCCTTCTCCCCCTGACCCAGTTATACGGAGAATTTATATTCATAAATACTTTAAAGCTGAGCAGGGAAGAAGCCAGGGTGGATACGCTGGCTGGATTTCTGCCAAGGGAAGGGATCTGTTTCCGAGCCGGGGCAGGCGAGGCTGCGGTGCCAGCGGGTCCGTCCCCTGCCCTGGGATCCTCTCCCAGCTGCTTGCACAGTTAAATAGAGGGGAGCAAAACCCCTCGCCTTCCTTGGCTCCATTGTGCAGCAGCAGCTCCTGAGGGCACCGTCCTGGGGTTAAATCCCTCCTTTTTTGGGGTCAGGGTATCGGCGACAGAGCTGAGCACCCCTTCCCTCTGCCGTCACACTGACTGTGGGTGTTTTTCTTGCATGGAAGGGGGTTGTTCCCAACTCAGTGGGACAGGACAGGGAACAACCTCAGCGTTCACCCTGTGTCTTGGCAAAGCCACATCCGTCGTGGTTAATGATCAAGCCGAGTCGCCCGGAGCAGGACGGCTCTGCAAACACGGCGCTGGCGCCTCACCACGCTCAACCCTTCAGTTTTCAGGCAGCTCAACACCTCGATGGCGATCTCGCAGATGTCGGCGGTGCAGTGCCGCCTGGCCCCCCTCATCCAGGTCATCCAGGACTGCAGCCACCTCTACCACTACGCCGTCAAGTTAATGTTCAAGCTGCACTCCTGTGAGTCCCTGGGGATTGTGCCCTGTGCTGGTCTCTTCCCAGTTTGAGCTTCTGACTGGATGTGGAGATCAGGCTTGTGTGGATGGAGGCATCTGTCACCATGTCCCCATATCCCAGCTGTGCTCTAAGGACCTACTCCATCCCACATAGACATCCCAGAGGAAGGGGTTAGAAGGACTTGTCCTTGATGAACTCAAACCGATGTGCCTTGGCCCGCCAGCTCCCTGCATGGGATTGCTGGGCAGCACAGTGCCAGGGGCCTCATGCGGGTATTTTGGGGTTCCCACATCCACCTCTCTCTGTGCCATGTCCCTGGTCCCTACACCAGAGATGGGGACTCCCCACTCCTGTCCTGACCCCTCACATCCTACTCCCACCTGGCCTCTACCCACTGGCTTTTGCAGCCAGAGGGATCTGGGCACATGTGAATGAATTTGCAGCCCCGGATCAGTCACGACTGTCCCCTCTATCGCCACAGGTCTACCCCCTGACACACTGCAGGGCCACCGAGACCGTTTCCACGAGCAATTTCGCAGGTAACCCAGGGCTGGGGTGGGCTGGTGGGGTCCCCTCCCTGCTGCCAAGCCCACCCTGTAAGAGGGTTTTTCTTTCTCCCCTCTCCAGCCTCAAAAACTTCTTTAAGAAAGCATCCGACATGCTGTATTTCAAGCGGCTCATCCAGATCCCCCGGCTGCCCGAGGTACGGTGGGATTTCAGTCGTACACGATGCTTTAGAGATCCTGTGGGTTCAGGGTGCATGGGGGAGTCCCCACAGATGGGTTCAGGGTCTGGGGACACTGTGGAGGGACCCACCAGCCCATCTCAGCAGCACAGGGATGGCAGTCCCCAAAACCCCAGGTGATGCCGCCATGACTTCTTGTCCCCACAGAGTCCCCCAAACTTCTTGCGGGCGTCTGCGCTGGATGAGCACGTGAAGCCAGTGGTTGTCATCCCCGAGGAAGCTCCTGAGGACGAGGAGCCAGAGAACCTCATTGAGATCAGCACAACTTCCACCACAGAGCCGCAGGTGAGGGCATGAGAATGGGATGGGGACCCTGGGATGGGTGGGACAGACACCCACAGCCTGGCTTAGCTTGACACCCTCTGTCTTCCCCAGATCACCTCAGATATATTTGAGCAAACCTTTGGGCCACCCAACGGCATTCGGGATGACAGGTATGGGGGTCCATGGTGGCAGAGGTGGGGCAACCACTGCTGCGTGGGACCAACCTGTCTCTCTCTGCAGGGATGCGCAGATCGAGAGCCTGAAGAAGGAGGTGGACATGCTCCGTGCAGAGATGGAGAAGATTAAACTGGAGGTAAAGCCCAGCTGGGGAGCAGTTGGTGTGGGAGAGCGGAGTGGTTTTTGGTGCTGTAGCGTGGAAACCCCAAGAAGGTGCAGCAGGAGCAGGGTCGTGGCACCCAGCACTGTGTTTTGGGGCCTCTTCCACTGCTAGAACCCGACTCCTGATGGAGATGGGGTGGAGGCATGTGAGACCTGTCCCTTGCTGTCCCAACTGGATGTTAGCAGAGGGGACAGAGCGGCTACAGGGGCCAAGGGAAGAGAGAGCCTTCCTGTGCATTTGCCCACGGCTGCTTTGCCCAAATTGCAGCCAGACACCAGGTTGGGGCTGTTGGGGAGGACGGGGTTGTTGCTGGCATCGGTGCCGGGCAGTACTCGAGTGCCTGACGGTGTCCTGCAGGCGCAGCGGTACATCACGCAGCTCAAGGCGCAGGTGAACAGCCTGGAGGGTGAAGTGGAGGAGCAGCGCAAGCAGAAGCAGAAGGCGCTGGTGGACAACGAGCAGCTGCGGGATGAACTGGAGAGGCTGCAGAGGGCAAAGCAGGACAGTGACAGGTCCCAGCGTCTCTGTGCCGAAGCAGAAAGTAGGTGCCCTACAGTGCCCGTTGGCCGTGGGACGCCCACGCCGCGGTTGCTGATGCTTTCTCACCCCATCCAGAGAAAGCCAACGCCACTGAGATCCGCTACACGAAACTGAAGGAGAAGCACAATGAGCTTATCAACACGCACGCCGAGCTCCTGAGGAAGGTAATGCTGCTGCCTGCGCCGGGCAGGGACTGACCGCTGCCTTTGTTCCTCTGCCGCCGCCGGTGTGGCTCGTGCGTGCCCAGCCCCATCTCGTATCAGTCCCATTGTCCTGCACCCAGGGACCTCTGAGCACCGGGTGGGGGGCACCCTTTGAATTCATGTCCACTCATGGCCAGTGTTTTGGATGCTGTGAAAAAGGCATCTCCGAGCTACACCCCCAGCCAGAATTTGGACAGAACGAGTGTGGCGATGGCGAGGGTCCCCCCTCCGAACGCCCGCTAAGCCCCGTGTCCCTGCACAGAACGCTGACACCGCCAAGCAGCTGACGGTCACGCAGCAGAGCCAGGAGGAGGTGGCACGTGTCAAGGAGCAGCTGGCGTTTCAGGTGGAGCAGGTCAAGCGGGAGGCTGAGATGAAGGTGAGCCCGAGTCCATCCCCGCCATTCCGGCACCGAGCCCTTCCCAGCCTGGGAAACGCGGTGGCTGTGCACGGTTTGGACACAGGGGGTAGGGGTGGTTGTTGGTGTCAGTCCCTGATCCGAGGAAGAGTTGCCCTGGCTCCCCAGAAGGGTGTTATTTACTGCGTGCTTCCTTCACTCTTGCCCAAATCTGTCATTTCTTCCCCCAAGAAAATGCCACAATAGAAATTGATGGGTTTGGGGGCTTTTGTTCTGCGGGGCCCAAGCTGGAGGCTGTTCCCAAAATTCCTGCGCTGGGGAAAATACCCTGGAAACCCCTCCTGCAAAACACGGCCGGGGTCGTTCCCGCTGTCCTGGCCACGTGCCGGTGCTGAGCGGGGCCAGAGCGCGTTTGCAGCGGCTGAGCCCCCGGCACGGGTGTGCCATTGCAGCTGGAGGACCAGAGCGTGCAGATGGAGCAGCTGCGGCAGGAGCTGGACGCCCGGCGGGACGAGCTGGACCAGGCGCAGCGCTCGCTCAGCCACGCCAAGCAGGTACGAGGCTGGAGGCACAGGATGCACCCAAATCCCCATCACAAATCCCTGTCATGCAAGACAACACCCCTGCCACCACTGCCAAGCCAGCGCTGCAAATGGTAGCCCAGGGAGGTGTCACGGGGCTGAACGTGGGGTCCACCCCATCAGTGTCATGAGCTGGGCATGTCCTCAGCTCCCCCCTTGCGCAACCATTGGGCTCACAACGTGGTGACAGGTGAGTGACAGGGGTCTCCTGACCCCACTGGCAGGCAAGTGCAGAGCTCAGCGCCCAGGTGGAGGCCCTGCATGCTGAGAAGGAGGTGCTGAGGCGGTCGGTGAGTGAGAAGGAGTGTGAGGTGCTCTCTGCGCGTGGCCTCGTCGAGGAGAAGGAGCTGCAGCTGAGCCAGGAGGCGGACAAAGCCACGAGGGAGATCCGTGAGCTGCAGGGCAGGCTCCTGGAGAAGGTACGGTGCTGTGTGGAGAGCCCAGCACCCCTCTGCTCGCTGGGGTGAGGTATTTTTGGGGGGTACTGAGCAGTCAAGGGGTTCAGCTGAGCCATTGCTGATGAAGCCGGTGGGATGTGACTTACACCAGCAATAATGAGATGCTTGGGTCTAATCCTGCAAACGGGCTCTTGAGTGATACACTGGTGGTGGAGCTGTGGTGACAGAGGTCCTGTGTCCCAGCTGTGCCACTCACCTGTTCCTCCTGCCTCGCAGAGCAACCAGGAGCAGAGCCTGCAACAGAAGCTGCTGGATGAGCAGTTCGGCATCCTGCAGGAGACGGTGCGGGAGGCGGAGGACATCCTCCGAGACGCGATGGCCAAGCTGGATGACCCGCTGCACCTCCGCTGCACCAGCTCCCCAGGTACATCCTGCTCTACCATGGGGGCTGCAACCCACAGTCACTTCTCTCTACAAGACAGAGAACATTGCATCTCAGCTTCCTCCAGGCATTTTTCCCTACTATACATCACGCCCAAGGAGACTGGGGTCAGACTTCCCAGAAGTGAATGTTTAGCTCTCATCTCAGCACTGTTTTGCTCAGATTTTAGTGCTGTTCCCCAGCCAGGGCCATGAGGACCTGATCTGTCTTGGCTTCCGCTCAGTGGTGCCTCATGGAGTCAGCACTCGTGCTTGTTCAGACCCTCAGCAGCCTGATTGTGCTAAGAAAGCTAAATTAATTACAGATTACCTGCTCAGCCGGGCGCAGGCAGCGCTGGAGTCCACGGACGCCCTGGAGAACGGACACGCGCAGTACGTGGCCTCCATGGCAGGTACCTGGGGCTGGGGACTGGTGGCATTGCTTGCATCTTGCTTTATTTTATACATCCAGTGGCCCCTGGCTACTCCGGGTCTGTTGGCAAGTGTGCAATGCCCTGGTGATGGGAGGACGTGGCAGGTGGAGTGGAGGGTCCCCACGCACTTGTTTGAGGAGCAGCCTACGAGTGGAGGGGTCAATTCTGACCTCTCCAAGCTCTTGTTCTGATCCTGGGCTGCCTTCAAGGGTGGGTTGCAG